GCTGCCGTGCCTCGCCCGCCCGCTGCCCTTCTGCTGCCAGGGCTTCCGGCCGCCGCCCCGTACCTCTGCCCTCGTCTTGGTCTTGGCGTAGCTCTGTGGGTGACGGGAGGGTCAGGTGCAGGAGGCAAGGGCGCCGCAGGGACCGGGGGTCGGGGTGGCCGGGGAAGGTGAGGCTGGAGGGGATACCAGGGCCTTGGGTGGCTGAAAGGCAGGGACTCTGACAATGGATTCTCCTTTTGGTGGCACTGGGGTTGAACCCAGCTTTTCACATTGGATGATACGCCAGCCCATTTTTAAAAAAATTTTGAGACAGGGTGTTGCTAACTTACCCAGGCTGGGCTCCAACTTGCACTCCTCCTGCCTCAGCCTCCTAGAGTGCTGGGATTACAGGTTTGCACACCCACCCAACCCAGCCTGACAGTAACTTCTTTCATGCTCCTGGCATAAATCCCAGACTGTTCACTACGGTCCCCACTGACCTCCATGGCACAGGAGGCTCCTTCCGGTCTGGGCCACAAGGGCCTCTGCACATCCTGTGCTGTTTCCCCTGTCGCCACCAGGCCCTACTGCCCTGCTGGTCTGCTCCACTTCTCCATGAGGCCTGGGGCTCCATGTCCCTTTCTCTGGGACAACTGCTCATCACAGACCTGGCTGCCTGATCCGTGTCCCCACCGCCACCAGACTGTGAACTCCCCAAGGTCGGGACTTGTGTCTGTCCTGTCTGGAGGCTGTGCCCTCTCCAAGCAGAGCCCACAGTGCTTGGTGCTCGGGAGGGGCCTGAAAACAGTCACCTGTGAGCGGATCTGAACGGAGGGGATGAGGCCGGGCCACGCACTCCACAGAGAAAACCCGATGGCTCCTTCTGCCTCCGGCCCTGGCCCCACCGGAAAGTATTCTGCCCCCGCTCACTGTCCACACTCACAATTCTCTTGAAGTTCCTCTGCCAGATGGCCACCTGGTGCAAGACATCCAGCCTGGAGCAGAGGAGGGAGACATGAGAAGCCACCTCCACTTCACAGCCTCCCACACAGCTGGGCACAGAGGCCCACGCCTATAACCCCAGTACTCTGGGAAGCTGAGGCAGCAGGATCGCCAATTGGAGTCCTATCCGGGCAATTCATTGATGCTGTGCCTCAAAGTAAAAAATAAAAAAGGTGGGGCCGGGGATTTAGCTCAGTGGTTCCGCCACCTGCCTCACAAGCTCAAGGTCCTGAGTTTGGTCCCCGGTACCAAAAAAATTAAAAAATAAAAAGCGGTTGGGCTATAGCTCAGTGCAAAGGCCCTAGGTTCAACCCCCAGAATCAAAATCAGAAACAAAACCCTCACAAACTCACCACTCGACTGAAGGAAAATCCAGGCTCCCTCAACCGCAGGGGCTTTATGTAATCTGTCCTTTTCTAACCTCATCTTGAATCCCCTCCAGCCAAGCTAGCCTCTCAGAAGATGGAGTCCAGCCCCAGGGCCTTTGCACTGGCCATTCCCTGCCTGAAATCTTCTTGTCCTGGCCAGTTCCTTCTCAGCCTCTCAAACCACCTCTGAGAAGAGTCCCCTGTTAAGGGAAGAGCTGCCCCTCCACTCCCAGGGCCCTGTGGACTTTCCTGCCATGCAGACTCCTTCATGAACTGCTGTGGCAGCTCTCTACTATTCCATACAGCAGACAACAGCCACATCTGGCCCCTGAACAGCTAAAAATATGATTAGCAGCATGTGTTGCCAAAATTTCCAGATATACCAAGTTAAATACGGCATGTCATTGAATTCAGTCTCACCTAGGGTCTGGGGATTTAGCTCAGTGGTTCTGCTGCCTGCCTTGCAAACACGGTCCCAAGTTCAATCCCCGGTACAAAAAGAAAAAAGAAAGAAAGAAAAAAAGAAAGTCTCACCGGTGTCTTTCTTTTTCATACCATGAATCAAACTCAGGACCTTGTGCTCACGAGGAAAGCAGTGGAACCACTGAGCTAAGTCCCTGGCTCACCTGTCTCTTTCAGCATTTTGTTGTTCTTGTCTTTGAAATAGGGTCTTATCATGTAGCCCAGGTTGGCCTCAAACTCGTGATCCTCCTACCTCAGCCTTCCAAGTTCTGGCACTACAGGCCTGAATCATTACACCTGGCTCTCTTTTTCTTTGCATTACTGGGGACTGAAACCAGGACTTTGCATGCTAGGCAAGTGCTCTACCTCTGAGCTCTATCCCAGCCCCTTTTCATTTTGTGACAGGGTCTTGCTGAGTTGCCCGGGCTGGCCATGAACTCATGATCTTCCCGCCTTAGACTATTGAGTGCTGGAATTACAGGCGTGCGCCACCATGCCCGGCCTCAAGATATTTTTAGACTTTTTTTTTTTTGTAATAACACTTATTAAGTATCAGAAAGTGTAACGGAAAGAGTCGCCTGCAGTTTTCGATCCCAGCTCTGTTGCTGGGTATAGCCTTTTGACTCTATGCCTTAGCTCTAAAAAATTAGCATAACAGCATTCTTCCCTAGGGTCACTATGCAGAACCAGTTAACTATAAAATGAAAATGGGCTATGCCAGGCATCCAGTGAGAGTTTAGTCCTCCTCGGTGCTCTTCTGTTTTTGAGAAAAGATCTTGCCATGTAGTTCAGGCTGGCCTCGAACTTGCGGTGGTCCTCCTGCCTCAGCCTACCCAGCGCTGGGATTACTGGGGAGAGCCACCACCCCGACTCCACAACCCCCCTTTGGCGGGTGGAGAACCTGAGGCCCGACGGCAGGAGCTCAGATCACGCTGATTCCCGAACCGGCGCTCTCCATCCCTTCCCAGCTCCCACCGCTGCCCGCTCACCGGGGCGCCGTGGCGAAGACATCGGGGTGCAGCTCAGCCAGGCCCACACGCTCCTGCTCGTAACCCCGCAGG